ATATATATATATATATATATATATATATATACACCATAATCGCTATAGGTTTCATTTCTTATAATATATTATTGCTTGGAGAGATATTTTTTTATTATTACTATAGCTAACATTTATAATATAAGTAAAACTACTAGTAAATGTTGTATAGAATAGATTACACAAGACAGCTCAATGTCTCAAAATTGTAAACCTCTGAAGCTGGCCATAAACTCATAAATATCATACACTATCCACATGTAAAATATGGCAGCAGTCCCAACCTTTTCCATTAAGGCATAAAGCACAACGTCTGGCTGCAGGGAGCCGTCCTTGAGTTTCCCAGTGAGCTCAGGCAAAGACAGAGACACTACAGAGCTGCTCTCAAAGTCTGGGTTCTGGAAAGACGTGAGAAGCAAACATCACATATTTATATAAATCAATATATAATAGAGGAGACTGGGGCTAGTTGTCTCAAGTGCTTGATCTGAGTGATTAGAAGGTTTTGAGTCAAAAGTCCAATTACACAAATGCTTTTTTTCTCTAGCAGTGGTTTTATATGTTGGTTTCCAAACATCTAGTTAAATGTGTCAAATTAGTTTAAACTAAAATTCCAGTATCATAATGTTCTTGTAACATCAGTTATGAAAAAATGGAAAACTACACCACACTCACCTCCATTCAGAAAAGAGTCAACAATATAGTGAAAATAGACTTTATCTTTATCTGATTCTCTATAAAAAGCAGACTGCACTGATAAAAATGATTCTGTGGTGAAGTAAATACTACAGATTTAGTTCAGGCAAGAATAAAATAAAACAAAATAAAAAATTCTCTATTAGTACTCAATTCAAGCTTGCAAAAATTAAAGTTTGAACTTAAATTTTTTTTTTTTTTTTTTTAAATATGTAAATATATTTTACATGTGTTAATTATTCTATTTGTTCGGCACAAGAATGGAAAATATAGTGGATTTTGTTACAGCTTCCATTTGTACAGTTACATAAACTTTACTGTTTACATTTAGCTTAAAGATAGACAGTAGCAGAAGATTCCATTGTGACAACTTACCCCATATTATGTGACAATATAATTTTTATACACGACAGGCACATTCATAAACACTTACTCTACACACAATGCATATTCCATGTATATTGCATTAATAATAGATGCATGTTAGTGTTTATACCTGTATTTTAAATTGTTGCACCGCTTGTTCAGCCTGTAGAAGAGATGTATCTCGTCTTTTCCGTGCGTTTAGTATTTTCTTCTGAATCTTCTGGTAATTTCTCCATTTCAAGAAGAGATATAATGCACCTGTACCGCAAACTGTGGCTGCAATCACCGGCGTCCAGTTAATATCCATGTCTAATACAAGCTGCTGCACATTAAAGCGCTCCATAACTGCTGCTCAGTGTGTGTGTATGTGTTGCGATCGTGCTCTCATGAGCTGCGAGTCACCGGGTGTCTTTAAGAACTCGGCCATAGTGAACAGGGTTGCCAGGTTTTCACACAAAACCCGCCCAATTGCTACTCGAAACTAGCCCAAAACTAGCCCAATGACATTTCGAGTGGGGCTCCCCGTTAAAAATCGCGTTCAGGGGGGGGTAAAATACACGTTTTTGGCGGGGTTCCTTCCCCTGGTAAAATTCGCACTCCAGGGGCTAAATAATTTCACGTTATCGGGGTCGCTTTAACCCGCGGACATGAAAAACAACCCGCGGCAACAGTGACAAAGTAGCCCAATTCCGCGGGAACACAGCGGACTTGGCAACACTGACAGTGAAAGACATCAAAAGAAACTGTCCGCACTAGAGCTCCAACTGACGGAGCTCTGTGGAAGAGAGGTAGTAATGTTCAACATGTGGTTAAAAGTATGCAGAACGCAATTAATGAAGTGGAAAAATTTCGTTTATCAGTGTCGAAAACACAGGTAATTTGTTTTTCAAAAAAGAGAGAAAGTCCTAATATTAGATTAAAGCTATACGGTAAACCTTTAGAACAAGTGAATGTGATAAGATATTTGGGGGTATGGTTTGATTCAAAACTGACAATTGCAATTTATATAAAAAACATAATTGATAAATGCAAAAAAGTTTTCAATATATTAAATATATATAATGTTTAAATGCATGTTACCTAGGCTACCTAGCTACCTGCACCTAAGTATAACACAGCTTTTCTCCCTGTCAGGATCTTTTAGGCAATTTTGAGCGCAGCTCGTAGTCTCCCTCTTATGCAGGGATCTGATTTCCATCTGCACAGGAAATGGAATGATGAAAGTTGGAGCTCTTCTTCTTCTTCTTTTGGAGTTTTATGGTGGCCACCTACTGGGCTGGAGTGTGGACCATTGATGGAATAGAAAGAACTAAAAAAAATAAATAAAAAACATTATTTTTTAAAGGTATGGACTGTGCCCAAAAAATGTTTTGTTTAATAATAAAGTAAAATAAATTCATTTTAAAATCAATCGTCATTAATACCCTTGTAATAAGTATCTAAGTCAACTTAACCATAATATTTCTCAACTCTGCTCATTTATCCTATTTCTGTTATTATTCTAAACAACTCTGGCTTCAAATATCAGCTTCTATTTCTTGTGTTCCACCAGCTCTGTAGTATTTCCATCAATACGGTTCTTTTCCATTCTGATATTTCTGACAATAAGGAGTTAAACGATGTCTTAAACTTTATTTGCATGATGGGTAAATTCCATATCCACAAAGCTAGATACCTTACATTTAAACCCAGCTGCAAAATATTTGCTTCTGATCTACATTTATTATTATCATCACTTCAAAAAGTCTCATCTGATAAAAAAGCTCTGAAGACATCTCGTATTATAGAACAGTTTTTAAGTAAATTGTAATTTGTTCATTTTTTTCGTCTCTCCTCTGTATTGCTCCATATGTTCTTTGTTCTGTATTATTTATTTCTTTTGTATTGAATTATATTTCTGCAAAAAAAATGTGCAAAGTTTTGTAAAGACATTGACTTGAAGTGTGTTTTCTGTAAAGAGGAAAATGAGAGTATTGTCCATTTATTTTATGTATTTATACAAAACTATTTTGGTGTGATTTTTTGTTGTTGTTGTTAAAAAATACTAAGATTGAATTGCAACTCAAAGAAAAGGATGTTATACTGTTGACTTCAAAATTTGGTATAATGTGAATTTACTCATTATATATGGAAAATTCTTTATTCACAAATGAAATTTATGAAAAAATATATATTTTACTCATTTCAAATAGAAATAGGTCACTACCTGCACACATTAAAAGAAGCAAGAAATAGCAAGGCGAAAAAACTGTAAAATATTTTAAAGCCTTAAATCTATTCTTTGAATAATTTGTAACTATTTGTACTTGTTTATGGACATGTGATTTTCTTATTGTTATATATGGAAAATTCTTTATTCACAAATGTAAATGGGAAGTGAAAAAATATATATTTTACTCATTTCAAATAGAAATAGGTCACTACCTGCACACATTAAAAGAAGCAAGAAATAGCAAGGCGAAAAAACTGTAAAATATTTTAAAGCCTTAAATCTATTCTTTGAATAATTTGTAACTATTTGTACTTGTTTATGGACATGTGATTTTCTTATTGCTTTCCTTTTATTATTTTTGCTTATTATTATTATTTGTTTTGATGTAATTTAGCCTATATGTTATTGCCCTTGTATGTTCATTGTTCTAAAGATTGCAATAAAAAAAATTTATATAGTGAAAATATGTCATATTACTTCACTATTTTGAGAATTTGTGTCGAATACAGAATGATCCGCACAGACCGACGATGGCAGGACTCTAAATATGTTTATTTACAGCTGAAGTGGAGAGACAGCGTGAACCGGAAGTTGACAGAGGTGGACCGTCTCTCTTTGCACGAAAGCACTTACAACTTCCGGAAAGGGTCACGCTGTCCTCCATCGGCGCATATCACGGTCCGCAGAGGGTCACATCAGGGAAAACTCAGCTGAAATCATGGTTTTCGAAGATAAAATGATCACGAATGGAGAGCCAGAGGAGGTATAGTAGCCTATAATATTTTACAGAGCGGTTTAAATGTCATTTAGTGTGTTAAAGAAGCCGCTTTATGTAAATCCGCTCTGGTTGATGGGCCGAGCCTGATCTATACGTTGAACCTAATGTACATATTTACTGTTATTTTATGCTTCTGCTGTCTAAACTGTTGCGTGAGATTTTGGCTTTGTCTTGTATGAGTAAATACACGCATTCTAGGTATCATATATGTTTGTTGTTGTTGTTTTCATACTATTTATGTACATAAGCATTTATATGTAGCCAAATAATACACTGTGTTGTGTTCAGGAGGAGGAAGAAGAAGAGGAGGAGGACATGGTGGTATGTCTTGTATTATAAAGCAATATTATATTGGCATAGTATGTCCAAATAAGTTTAAATGAATTAAAAATTATGTTTAGCAGTTGTTCAAAAGTGATTAATGGATACTGTCATGCCCTTGATCAAGAATCAGTCTTCTGTAAGCCACTTTGGATATATAGCTATATATACGAATCATCTTAATTATAATTTCACATACATATATATATATATATATATATATATATATATACACGTTAGTGACAAGGAAATTTCACCCCCAATTCAAAAGAAAATGCATCTGGATGCAGCAATTATGAGGCTCTATAACATGTAAGAAGAACATGGCCAAAATATTCACATCTGAAAAAGTAGATCCTGTGGATGCCTTGTGAACCCAGCTGTGCAGTTTTGATGATTTTCTGAATTTATGGTGCCACCTAGAATTGTAACTCTGTAATAAATTTGACACGTATCCTTACATTTCGCTTGTGTCCTTATTTACCAGTTCTTATCACTTTCATTTCAGTCAATCCCAAGACCGAACGTTATGTCTCAAGTCTCATATCATAGATGATGTGCATCTTCATAATGCCTTGATGTCTATGCATACTGAGTTGGATGAAGATTATTGTTGAATGTTTGCTCCTCAGGACCCATTAGAGACGGTGCGGGAGAAGTGTGAGCAGACGGAGCATTGCGTTCACACTCGTGAGCGGCTCGAGGCGTGCGAGACACGGGGCGGCGTGCGTGAGAAGTGCGAGCAGACGGAGCATTGCGTTCACACTCGTGAGCGTCTCGAGGCGTGCGAGACACGGGTCGGCTCGCGCTCAGAGACAACAGAAGACTGTACGGAGGAGCTCTTTGACTTCCTGCACGCTCGTGACCACTGTGTGAGTGCTGATGCTCTGGATGTTAGATGTCAGTGATTGCTAGAGAGGTTTAGTTTAGAGTCTTTGACTTCGCTAAGTTGCTGGTGACTTGTTTACAGATTAGGTTTGAAGTCGCACACCTAACTTCGAACAGTAGTTTAACCAAAATTATAAATTCTATCATTATTTATTCTCTCGTTTGTCATACCAAAGTTGTATGCTGCTATTTTTTTGTGAAAAATTCTCTGAAATTTTTAATTTTTGTAACAGTTTTTGTTTTTGAATGAACTGTTTAAAATTATTTTTTATATTCATTATAACTTGTTCTGCTCTGTTTGTTTTCTGCAGGTGGCCCACAAGGTTTTCCAGTCAGTCAAATAAACGGAGCATCTCAGCGCTCGGTTATATATATATATATATATAAGATGTGATTTCTGTCCCAGATTCAACAACTCACCGTAACCCATAGGTTCTTCAAATCATCTATTTTGCTGAATTGTGACAGAAGTGTTAATAACTGTGCTCTGTTTTCATCTCTCATGTGTCCTCTGTTGTTGAGATCAGTAAAGAGGTGATGTTGACACAGAATTTGGGTTTATTGCTAATGTCAAATAACAAAAAACAATAAAGAAGAAAAGACAATGGCTGTTTTCAGTACTTTATTCCCATAACTTGGCTGTTATAAAGAGCAAATAAGCATCATCAGTATACAAAGAACATGATAGATATTACTTAAACATTACTAACTTAAAATAATGACTTGTCTAAGTCTATGAGACCAATAAGTGTACACTACAGATAAAAGCAATGTGGTGAAGCATTAAGAAAAATGTTGGATACAAAACTGATGTGCAAGAATAAATTAAAGTAAATTAAATTAGTTTTCCTATTTACAAAATAATACTTGCGAAATTTAAATGAAAGAAATTAAGTTTTATTTGATTTTACAAATGTGTTTTTTTTTAATGTAATCAATCAGTAAACTGCAGCAGTGCTTTAAACATCCTGACGTCTTTCCGATCGGATTTGCTCTGTTGGGCGGGACTTGCACCACTACAGCGTGTTTCATTGGCCACATCAGCGCCCGGAAGTTAAAGTCGATAGAAATTGAGCCAATCAGCGTTCTTTCCGTAGAATTTGAGCAGCTAGAATAGAAATTGACATGAAAAAAATTGTTTTAACTGGCGGAATTAGAAGCACAAATGTTCTGTATTTACCGAGTATTCTTAGCTTAAATATTAAGTTATTATTCAGATGTAAATGATTAAATACGTGAATTATAAAAATGTTTTGTCACGTGGTATCTGTTACTTTTCTCTGCGCTGGGCTGATTGGACCAATCGCATTCGTGAGTGATTAAAAAGGTACGATTTATACAGTTAATTTTATAGAGATTTATGCTAGCAGCTTTGCATTTGTCGATCAGGCATTAATTATTGTACTATATACATTTAAACTAGTATACTCTAGTGTATAAATATCCCAAATGAGCGAAAAAATAATTAAAAGACAGTGCAGCGATAATGATTAGATTCATCTTTCTGAGCCGCCGAGCGCCACCTGGACGAATATCTTTAATGCATCTTAAAGAGATGCGATTTGTTTTCGTTATGAAACACCTGCATGTTTGAGAGTCCCGCGCAGAGTTCACACAACACTACGGCGTTTCGAAAATAAATACTGCTCCGGCGAGTTCTCAAACCAATTTAGCGTTTTATATTAATATTATTATAAATATATAATTTTAATATTTATATCAGTAGAATATAAATATATAGAAATATTTTTAAACATATATCGATATAAAGAATTGTAAACAACGTGTTTTATATTTGATATGATTAATATGTATTATTATTTTTATTACATTATGGGATTTGTCATTACTTGTTAGTGTAAGTGAGCCCATGGCATCAAAATGGAAATATATAAGTTATAATGTCTTGGTGATTTTATTTTAATAACAGTAAATGATAGTTTTAAACAACTGAATTTTCCTTAAGGTTTATGTGCTTAATATGCATTTATAGATTCTATTAGATTCTTAGTTCTAAGGTTTGTCTGAATGTTTTGCGCATATTTTATGTAAACGTCCACTGTGACTGTCCACTAGATGGCGCAGTTGTGTTATTTACGTTGACAACAGCGGTAGGGTCTTGTGCATTCTGATTCACAGGGGTCAAATATCATGAATTCATCATCTCTTGTGTGAAAAATAACAGAAAAGGCAAGTACAATTATAGTAGTTCAGCATTGCTAAAGCCCCGGAGAACATGCATATCTCCATTGCATTGTGCACAGTTGCCTCGATCTCATGCTTTCACTCACATTTTGTTCTAAAAGACCCAGACACTAGCGGCATGACAGTAATCAGACGCTTCAGTCTGTGTTTTGTGTAAACATGTTGTGCTGTGAGAGCATTCAGACACACCATTCATACGGAAACGAGGCCTCAAACAAGTTAACATACTATTGCAATAACATTTAGTATAACATATATTATTTCAAAAATGCATTATTGTTTTTTTTTTTAAATAGTGGTTTAGAGAGAGAAACTGTGACTTGTCTGGTATGAAAATGTTGGTGCAAAGCAAAACACAAAATGAGCCACGTGGTATGACACACAAAGATAAAATGTATTTCTCTTTAAATGCATCATCTGTATAAAAATCTGAGCAATAAATTCCAGGTATATACATTTTATAAATAATAAAAAATATAATTATGATAACATGTATACGAAAAAAAAAATTACAATAAATACATCAAACAATAGCAGTAATTTCCCTTAAATAAAGCAGGGGATGCATAGCATCCAAAGGGTGAAATGATGCCATCCTGAAGGAAAAGAATTCACTGCGCCGCTGGGAAACAAAAAGAGCAGTTCAAGACTAAACCCTGCTTCCCTCAGATCTCAGAGGAACAAAACTGACCAAAACCTTCCAGATTATCAGAACAGCATTACTGCGTTTGATATAAAGGTGAGTGAAGTGTCAGTGAAGAACATGACATGATGAATAAAGCCTCTCCCTGTATGACGTCTTTCAAATGTTGGGTTGTATAGTAGATAATCTATTAGATCTATGATCTACGAGTCAAAAAACAGAAATGCAGAAAAGAAACAAACAGGGCCAAAACACTGCAAGTAATCGAACAAAACATTAGGAGGTTAAACTGGTGTCTACTGTATGATGTTTTCTATTAATCGAACGCTTAATATCAATACAAAACAGTTGATAAAATCCCTGTTACATTCAAAGGCAGTAACAAAAATGGAATTTGTGATTTGAAATTCCCTTAGTCATAAAATGCCAAAAAAAAATCATGGCTGGTCACATTTAAAAATAAAAATAAAATAAAATAATGCAAAAACAAATTGATTAGGGTTTTCATTACTGTGACAGTCATGTTATGTACTACAGTAAAAAAGCATGTACAACAAATACTAATGTACCATAATGCATAAATACAATGTAAAAGTTATGCATCATTCATTTTTCACATTACATTATTGAGAATGTGAATTTTGGGGGAAATGTATTGAATTGATGAAATGAAAATAAAAATATCATGAAAATGTCAAAAACATTGGCTTAAACAATTGGTCAAATTTCCTGTTTATTTCTATTGAATTTAGCGTGAAACTGAGAATAAGTTCACAGGTAGTTATAGTGTCTTTGAGAACGTTACAAGTGATATACGAGTAAAGTAAACCATGAGATTAATACAGTAAGTGTGAGAAATGGAATAGAAGCACGTGACGGTCGATTATAGAGGTGTAAACCACAGATTGCATTTCTACTGCTCACTGTCCCTACCTGAGGTCATCTGCTATTTATGTATCTATTGCTTTGGTATTTCATTCACCTAATAATAAGTCAACACCCAAAAACATAGAACAAAAACATGAAATGTGACAATGTCTCAATTAAAATACATTTTGGTAAACCGGTACAGTGCTGTGTGCTGCGAACTTTAGCCAGGACACCTTTTCATTTAACTGACAAATCAAATATGTCACGTACCCTGACAAAGATCCAGTCCATAATAGGACATGCACAGAAAATCAGACATCCACTCGAGCAGTGAAACAAAATAACAATGTTGATCAATGAAGTTTGAATTTAAAGAGGTATTTCTTGATTGCAGAGGTTATGGAATATGGCATCAGGATAACTGGTTAGCTGTCGGTTGTGTTTGTGCAAGTGTGTAACGCCAAGAGCACATTACAAGACGGTCACAAATCAACCTGTGTCATTTAAACACTCACGGGTGAACTCACTAAACAGTTTTGCACGCAAAAACCTGCATATTATTCATTAACGACCTGCAATCTAGTTTACTCTGCACTGGTACAGCATCATTACTCCAGTCTTCAGCGTCACATGATCCTTCAGAAATCATTCTAATATGCTGATTTGCCGCTCAAGAAACGTATTATTATCATTGCTGAAAACAATTGTGACCCTGGACCACAAAACCAGTCATAAGGGTCCATTTTTCGAAATTGAGTTGAATAAATAATAAGCTTTCATTGATGTATGGTTTGTTAGGATAGGACAATATTTGGCCGAGATACAAGCTCCAGGGTCACGCTTGTGCTGCTTCATTTTTTTGTGGAAACCAGAATGTTTTTTTCAGGATTTTTTTGATGAATAGAAAGTTCAAAAGAACATTTATATGAAATATAAATCTTTTGTAGCATTATAAATGTTTTTACTCTCACTTTCAGTCAATTGTTGCTGAATAATGGTATTAATATCATACTGACCCCAAACTTTTGAACAATAGAGTAAATTAGGTCATTGACATTCTTTTAAATCCAAGAATGATTAATTTCTATGTAAAACAGGCCTATTATAGCATACAACATTATTCACAAAATTCAACACGTGCACTGCTTATGGAAAGCAGGCGGAATTTTGTTTAAAAGTGAAAAGAGTTGAAAAGAGTTAAAAATAGTTTGTGTACATTTTTTAGCGATCATGGCAGCAGTAATTCATCTAATGATGATCAGATGATGGAAGAGAGTGTTATAACTGGGCATACGTCCAGACATGCAGTGTAACCGAGCACGATTTCATCATTATAAAGAGCCGATGCAGAAATCCACCACTTAGCATTCAGAGCCGGCCTGCAAACTGGAGATCTGCTGCATGAACAAATGTTTGGCCTGTGTCTGAAAAACACCTGGAACTTTTTGTTGTAGACTACACACAAGCATAAAAAGGTGACGTGCTTCAGTCTTGTAATGTGCACATGGCTTAAGGAAAGTGTGTATATTAAACACACATGCTAAGCTGATAAGTGAATTAAAAGCACCTTCTGTTCTGTTATAATGAACCTTCATGGTATCCACGTTCTTAAAACATCTCCAGTTTCTCAATCTCATAACGCCAAGAGGCAGATAATGTGAAATGTAGGCCTTCAAGTTACTTTTCACAAACTTTCCATGCAGTCTGGAGCAGGAATTTGACGACTCGCTTCACAAGTCCAGTTTTTAGCTCTCCGAGGTCACATGATGCAAATCCCTACGGTTTCCGACTGTCTCCCTGCAGGACGTCCCGTATTCCTGTGGCTCCCGTGCTGACGGTAGCAGATTCGCTGGGTTTGTAGTGCATCATCAGGAGCGCTGCATCCGA